TTCTACATTATTATTTATTATTATAGCTACTTAAAAAATATTGTACTAATCTCCATTTTCTTTTTATTTTTTTTATTGCTGTAAGGATTCAAAGGGAAAGGAGAAAAAAAGGAAAGAATAGCCATGAGAAATCGAACAATACCTACAGAATTCATCCTTCTAGGGCTATCAGATGATCCAGAGCTTCAAGTGGCAATTTTTCTTTTCTTAATGATAACCTATATATTAAGTGTTAGTGGAAACTTGACTATCATCACTCTCACTTTGGTGGACACTCATCTACAGACTCCTATGTATTTTTTCCTCAGGAATTTTTCTGTACTAGAAATATCCTTTACAACCGTCTGTATCCCTAGGTTCCTTGGCACAATCATTACTAGAGACAAAACTATTTCATACAATAATTGTACAGCTCAACTGTTTTTCTTCATTTTCATGGGTATAACAGAATTTTACCTTTTAACTGCCATGTCCTATGATCGCTATGTCGCCATCTGCAAACCACTACATTATACAACCATCATGAGCAAGAGAGTGTGTATGCTGCTTGTCTTTTGTGCATGGCTTACAGGATTTTTAAATATCTTCCCACCAGTTATTCTTTTTCTCCAGTTAGATTATTGTGGTTCCAATGTCATTGACCATTTTGCTTGTGATTACTTTCCTCTCCTACAACTGTCCTGCTCAGACACATGGCTCCTAGAAGTGATTGGTTTTTACTCTGCAATAGTGATTCTACTTTTCACTTTGGCATTAATAGTTCTGTCTTACATGTTCATCATTAGGACAATTCTGAAACTTCCTTCTGCTAGTCAAAGGAAAAAAGCTTTCTCCACTTGTTCCTCACACATGATTGTCATTTCCATCTCTTATGGGAGCTGCATTTTCATGTATGCCAACCCATCAGCAAAAGAAAAGGCATCATTGACCAAAGGAGTGGCTATTCTCAATACGTCTGTTGCTCCTATGATGAATCCATTCATATACACTCTGAGAAACCAGCAAGTTAAGCAAGCCTTTAAGGACACTATCCAAAAGGTAATATATTTCACCAGCAAATAAAATTATTGTTGTTGCTGTTGTTATGTGCTGTTGAGTTGCTTATGACTCATAGTGACCCTATGTAAACAGCCTTAAACCCTGTTCTATCATGTGCCAACATTATTGTCTCTGACGCACATACTCTTGTTAACCCAGTGACTCAATCTATTGATCTTATCAAGAGTCTTTCTCTTCTGCTGTCCCTCCACCCTCTCAAGCTTGATGTCCCTCTCCAAGGACTGGTCCCTTCTTGCAACATGTTCAAAGTATGTCAGATGAAGTTTAGAGTCCTTGCCTCCAAGAACTAACCTGGTTTCACTCTCTCTAGGACGAACCTGATTGTTTTCTTAGCAGTCCATGGTAGACTCAATATTCTTCTCTAGCACCACAGCTCAAAGGTATCAATTCTTCTTCTATCATCCCTAGTCATTGCCCAACTTCCTGATGCATAGCAAGTAATTGCGACGACTATGACCTGAATCAGGTGCACCTTAATCTCTAGACTGACATTGTTTCCCTTCAGTACTTTGAAGAGGACCCTGATAGCAGATTTTCCCA